ATATATATATATATATATATATATATATATATATATATATATATATATATATATCTGACTACAGCTGTGGCAAGCCAGTGATGTATCCTGTAGTATAAAAATTATTCTGCATATCGCAAAAAATAATTTTGTACATTAAATGCGGCCTACGGATCATGGATTGACCAGGTCTGCATTAAAAAATATCTGTCATTATTCATTACTTTTCTATATTTAGATACATAGGACTGAAATTTGATCAAGTCAACGGACATCTTCGAAAATTAGAGAGTGACCAAAAGCATATAGTAAAGAAGGCATGGGAAAACTCCGCGTTGCAACCACGCCTACTTACATATCCCAAATCTACGAGCAACGAAAGTATTACATGGATCGTAATGTATTACAAGAATTCTGTGTAAAGAGTGCGTCCCTAAACGTTTCGCCTGATTTTTGGGTGCTCGATAATGACAGTTTTTTTGCATTAAAATCCACATTAAATCGATTACAAATATATAACTCTCTAATCTAAGTCGTTTACCGTTCCCGAAAAAAATAACATAAGAGTCCTAATTTCAACAGATGACGTTGTAAACAAAGACAAGTATTATTTATTGTGTAAAACTAGCATTATTTGTTCTTTGTAAACGGTTAAAAACAGGCAAAACTTGGTTGCATTCTTTAATATTGGTTACAACGATAGATCGCACAATGCAATTGAATACTGTATTATTACAGACATCTTCATTTGGAACTCCGTAAAATATGTCGCGACTTGAACTCAATATTTGGACTGCAAATGACCGCCAAAATGGGCGCTTATTTCGCTTTTATAGCGCTAGCTTTTCGTGAAGTTTTCAATGTACTGATGCTTAAAAATTATGATTATAAAGGCACGTTGTACTTTATGTTGGTTGTAATATACCTCTCTCAGATCATCTTCAGATTCTTCATCATAAATTATATGTGCGAGAAAGTCAGCATCAAGGTATTAACTATTGTTATATAAACATCAAAAAACGTCTAATTTAAATTTTCTTAACAAATGGTGGCTATATATATATATATATATATATATATATATATATATATATAAAATTATATTCATATGTATTTTAATCACCTTTCTTTTTTATGCTATTTACGGATGTTTCGATTTCAGGCGAACGCAATAGCAGATGTTATTGATAGAATATCGTATTCTACTTATAATGTTGAGGTTCGCGAAAATGTAAGATCTTTTGTGTTACTACTAAGATAAATGACAATTTAATCATTTATATTCAATGTATCGTTTTACTAATGCAGATTTCGCAATTTCTGTTGCAAATGAATCTAGTTCCGCTCAAATTCTATGGTCTTGGTCTTTTTCAATTTGGCTTCAAATTCTTGCTGGAGGTACATTCCAATTATTATATAATTACCCATTCAAAAGGATAAGTAATTAAAACAAAAATTCTTTTCCTCCAGTTCTGCTCCTCCATTACGACCGTTATAGTCATATTAGTACAATCGCACATCAACACAAAAAAATGAAGAAAGAAATGTAAGGATTAGGGGACATATTATTATAAGTGTGTGCAAATAATTTTTAGTTTTGCTAAACATTAACATATACTCTTTCAAAGAGAATACTACAATATATGAAATTTATCATTTATACTCTATTATTGTAATAATTTTATTTTCCTTTTGTGACTTTTCTTCTAACAATTGTATTTTTGTAAATATGTAATTATATATCTGCGAATTTTTAGTCAATAAAATATATTCTATTTTTTAAGTGATCACGAATCATAAACAGCTTACTTCATTTTTATAGGAAACAACATTGTTCGTTGTTCCTTATTAATGCCATATTTTATTCATTATCTGATCATTTTCACAATATTATTGTACAATTATCAAAATAAGGGAAGAAATAAAAGTAGATGTCTGCGGCACTCAAGTAATTAATGACTTGTTATTTTTCAATAGCTTATGGTATGCAAAATTCATGGGACCAATTATTTCAATATACGTAAGTACAAATCGTGCAAGAGTAAGTGCATTGCGATTCAGCTGTTGTTTGAGGAACTTGTTAGTAGTTCAAAAAAGAATGATAGATATTATTCGTGCAATTTGTTAAAGAAAGTGCAGCGCAGTAAGAAATTGATATTTTCAACTCTATTAAATTGAAGATTTTATCTCGCTTCAGCTTTCTGATAACGATTATGTGTTTTCATAAAAAAATTATTTTATACATCTCCCAAAATATTGCTAAATAGTAAAATACATTCCAATATCGTGGAATGATCATGAGTTGTGGAGATTTTGTTTGCTGATTAAAACTATCCAATTATCGAATAGAGTCGTCGCGTAAAAAATTGTTTAAAAAAGTCGCTTAAAAATTGTTAATCTATTAATTAATAAATATCATAAATAATATCATTATCATGTACTTTAATTAAAAAATAATACAGTTGCATATCTATGTGTTATTTAATTACTTCTTAAACACTCGTGTACTTAAGAAATGCAAATAAAATCTGAGAAGACGTAATGTGCCGATGTTTGCAATGCGAATGTATTTGTTCCATGGCGGAATAGGCAGCAAGTTCACGAGTATTCATTTTACAGTAACTCGTGATACGTAAAATTCAAAGGATCGATCATTTTAATATACTTAAGTGGAGTGATAAGAATTACTGCGATCTGATGCCGTTTAGTGATATAGATGGCAGTTGGACAAAATGACGGCGTCGGAAAAAGTAGCATACAGAATAATGGGTGACATTCGTGCAGTATTGTCACCGCTTCTAACAATCGGTTTTATTTTTGGCATAAGAATTATCGAATTTTCCGTGAATCAAACGAGACTGTGGTACGGTGTTTTGTACATATTGATATTGTGGTCGCTTTACTATAGTCTAGTGGGGTATACTCTAATAGACTACTTACAAACTAATTCTCTCGCTTATCAAACATGCTTTTGGGCAAACGTCTCTACAGCGTCATTGTCGGCTTTTCTTGGAATGTATCACAATAAGGTAAGGCAATACCAAGATATTCGCTTGCTGATAACGAGTAATTCTTCTTGTATATCCGTAATTACGATCTTTGACTAAATACTTGCTCGATCCTTAACACATTGATTGCGATGGAGATCACAAATGACCAATACTGTAATATTATCGCGTCTTATTAATTTACATACAAAAAACTTAGCCAATATAACAAATTAAATATATGACCCATAAAGAGCTAATAAAACGAGTTAGCAAATAAATGCGTCATAATTCGCATTTGTTAACTGTAAATAATTTCTTTGATAATTCAAACTTTAATCATTGAAATTATTAATAAATCATCGCAACAGTCAACGTGTTAAGTTACATTTTTTTACAATATTTATCTACGATCTTGTGCCCGAATTGTATTGCATAAACTCGTAAACTTGTGTCAGAAATTTAGAAGCTGTCTAAGGAAGCTCTTTATTGTCGACGACACTTTAAAAAAACTAGGAACAATGATAGATTACCACAAATTATACACGAGGGTATTATGGATCGTTCTTGGATGGATCGTATCCAGCTTATGGACAACCTACAACGCTGCTTTATGGCACGGGATTCAGTACAACATTATGAAAACCTTCTACAGAAGCTTTATGCTTGAATATTGTTCTTATGTTAATCTCCTTGATGATTTGATTATTCTTAGTACTCTTGGGTGAATATTCTTGTGATACATCTTATGTTAGAATTGGCCGCGACTCGTCACATTATTTTCCGGATCGCCAGATAATTTTTATATTACTATTATTTATATATATATATATATATATATATACATATATATATATATATATATATATATATATATATATATATATATGACTACAGCTATAGCAAGCCAATGATGTATCCTATAATATAAAAGTTCTTCTGCATATCGCAAAAAATAATTTTGTACATTAAATGCGATCTACGGATCATGGATTGACCAGGTCTGCATTAGAAAATATCTGTTGTTATTCATTACTTTTCTATATTTAGATACATAGGACTGAAATTTGATCAAGTCAACGAACATCTTCAAAAATTAGAGAGTGACCAAAAGCATATAGTAAAGAGGGCATGGGAAAACTACGCGTTGCAACCACGCCTACTTACATATCCCAAATCTACAAGCAACGAAAGTGTTACATGGATCGTAATGTATTACAAGAATTCTATGTAAAGAGTGCGTCCCTAAACGTTTCGCCTGATTTTTGGGTGCTCGATAATGACAGTTTTCTTGCATACAATTAAGATCCACATTAAATCGATTTCAAATATATAACTCTCTAATCTAAGTCATTTACCGTTCTCGAGAAAAATAACATAAGAGTCCTAATTTCAACAGATGGCGTTTTAAACAAAGACAAGCTGTTAGCATTGTTTGTCTTTTGTGGACGGTTAAAAACAGGCAAAACTTGGTCGCATTCTTTAATATAAGTTACAACGATAGAGCGTGTAATGCAATTGAATTGTATTATTACAGACATCTCCATTTGGAACTCCGTAAAATATGTCGCAACTTGAACTCAATATTTGGACTGCAAATGACCGCCAAAATGGGCACTTATTTCGCTTTTATAGCGCTAGGTTTTCGTGAAGTGTTCAATATACTAATGCTTAAAAATTATGATTTTAAAGGCACGGTGTATTTTATGTTGATTGTAATGTACCTCTCTCAGATCATCTTCAGATTCTTCATCATAAATTATATGTGCGAGAAAGTCAGCATCAAGGTATCAACTATTGTTATATAAACATCAAAAAACGTCTAATTTAAATTTTCTTAAAAAATGATGGCTATATATATATTAGGTGAAGTAAAAAGTTCTGAGCGTTTTTTCGCTTTATTTCGACGATGAAATTAACATAGTTAGTATTATCCGATTTCGATCAAATATGTGCCGTTTTGTTCGATAACTTTTGTCCATTTTAAAGGCAATTTCATAATTCCACGATTGAAGAAGTCCTCGTCCCTATTGGTAAAAAACTTGACCAGCTCATTTCCACAAGCCTCTCTTGAGGCCAGTTTTGTACCATCATGAAAATTTTGCAAATGCTTGAAAAAGTGATAATCGCTTGGTGCCAAGTCTGGACTATACGGCGGGTGCAATAGAACCTCCCATCCAAGCT